TCATTGCCTTTTGGAGGTCGCCATCTTGTATTATTTGATTCTGGCCTTCCGCACTTTCACTGGATGCCGATAGCATTTCGTCCACTTTCCTGTCCTGTTTCTCGGCTCCCTTTGCTCCATCTGCTTTCATGCCAACCCTCGGTGACATATTACTTCCGTATTTTCCTCTCGGCGGGTTAAATTTCTTCTGTTTTTTTGAGCCGTCCGGTTCCGATGTTACTTTAGTTGACGCATGCGCAGAACCCAAGTACAGGAGTTAGGTTATGTAAATATCTTGCGTCCGCTGTAAAGTGGACTGTTGCTACGTGTATAAACCTTCACTCTCAGTACATTAGATTAAAATCACATTGGAGTGTAATCAAAATGGTATCAATATTCCATGTTTCAACACCAGGGATTGATGAGTCCATGCCAGGCATATATTAAAATTACATCAGAGTGTAATTATTTTAAATAGAATTACGTTATCCATATTGATGGAACAATACATCAGTTGAGATTGCTTTTCTTCTTTTAAGTAAATTGGACAAGATTGTGTTCTGAAAGTCATTAATAATTTGTCGTTTGAGTGAAATCAAGATCAGATTAAACTATTCTAATTGTGGAGGATGTGTTCAGACCAATCAAGTCTAAAATGGCTTGAAAGTCACTGCTCTTTACAATTTTGATGATCTGGTAATGGTACTGGTATCTTTGATTTTTGTGAAAATAATAGTGTGGTCCAGTATTAAACCAGACTGCAAAAGTTCACTGCTATTGAACAAACAAAATTGACAGGAAAAACAATCCCCCTAGTAGTGGTATTCTGCTAAAACACCATACATGTACATTCTCCTAATTAATATTACCACATCAATGTAATATAAGAAAACAGCTCTTACCAACATCATCTGTGCCAATGGTTCTCCTCCAAGTGCTCCAAATGTATAGTAAACCAAAGCCTTAGCTTGACTAGAGTTCAAACCAATACCAGCACCATACATAAAGCCCAAACCCTGGCAAAAAGTAAACACACAGCATCCAATGAATTTTGAATTAGGCGAGAAGGTTGTCACCTGTGCACGCGCGGGAATCGAGTCCCAAACGATGATAACAACACATGCTAAGAACGCAAAGGCTCATGGGTAGATGCTTGTTTGTAAACAATCACACTATGGCCACCTGACGTATGCGTAGGTGACGACTCCCTTTTAAAATGCCATAGTTGCTCTCGTCCGAGTGTTGGAGCAGCAAATTTTCTAATTGTTCTTTTTCATAATTTCTTTGTTAGTTTTGAACAAAGTAGAATAATTTTCTTTTGCCTACAGATTTCGATCAAAATGGTGTCAAAAAAATCAAAAAAGTTAACAAGTGCATTTTGCATTCATTTATATTAAGCCAAAGCAAAACCAAATATAATGTTATGAGAAGACAGTCATGTTACTCATTTTTATTAAAAATGATGACAATGTGTGCTTTGTAACAAGCTTTCTTTACATTTTTCACAGCATTTCAATTTCAATCACTTGAATGGTATTCTGTCTAATGCTCACACAATCAATAGTGTGTTGTTTTTAAAGTTTAGAGATGAACAGCTGAGATGCTAGTACTTTAATGCATTGTAATATAGCTATACTTACTGTCTGTCCTTCAGGCACTCCTTTAGCTGCAAGATCTGTGAACATATCAAGTGCTCCACTCACATTAAATGTCAAATAATCACCAAATAGATACGCATAACCAACCAATTCTTGTGACTTGGAATGGTTTAAATAAGCTGCTATTTCCAAAAGAGCATATCCCCTGTTAAAAGGAAACAACGCAATTAATTAAGATATACAAAAATTCTATTCAGATGAAGTAACAATGAATAATAGTAATTTATCTTGACTTTACATGATGATACAAATACTTACAGGTAGTATACAATGTACCGTTTAAAGAAAACAACTTTTATGTACATGTATAAGGCTAATATGGTATTGTGGTGAAGTTTAGATTGGGAATTTTTTCTGGGTACAGCAGCAGAATCAAACGTGTACTATAACATTGAAGTAGACATGTGCATATAGATTAGGTGTTTATTTTTGTATTTTATTTCAACAAAATAGGTCCTCACCTTTTCTTGTCATCTGTTGTTGCATTCAGTAATGGTAATGCCATCTGGTAGGTGGTTTCCGCTGTGAATAACATAGTTAAACAACTTATCCAAAGAAATGAATGGCCATGGAGAAGATAAGTGTTATCGTTGTTAAATAAAGTTTATTATTATCATTAAGGAAGTGGAGTCTTTGCTACTCTGGCATAATAAATTGATTTCATGATTTTTGAATTTGCCTGACCACAATTTCAAATTTTATCAAATTGCCTTACCACAATTCCATATTTTACTGGATTGACAACAAGTAATTATGTAATAATATCACTAAAAAGTTCAATTTCTTAGGTCAATGCTCTATTTTTGGTACTTCCTGCAAATCAGGCAAACGTTACATTTTCAGCAGAGACAAACTGGTAATATGAAGTAATAATATCTGTCATTGCTACAAGTGGTCAAACCATTTGAATACATGTGTGATAAGTCACCTAATTGTCAGAAAATGAAACCCCACTAGGATGGGTGACCTGTCTCATAGCGCCTAACTTTTCATCACCAGTTCCCTCTTTTCATCACAAATTCACAAAATAGTCCCATTTATAATCTGCACTTTCCTTCAGAATATTGAGACAAAAATATCCAATTTTTTTTAGTAAAAATTGAAAATTGACTCAAATTTTGTCTGTTTAGGGTTCATTTCCATAAATATTGAAGAATTTAAAAAAAAAAGTACAGAAAAATTTGGGTGAGAAAGTCTAATGATGAAAAGGTGCTCATGGTGTCAATGAACCAGTTTTGTAGAGTATATCTTGAAAGGGAGGATGTAGAGTATGCATTATGCAAATGAGTTCACATCTCATTGACCTCTGTATTTGACCTTTATGTTGTATTGCATTCACTACCTGAGCCATGGTGTGATGCAGGGGGGGATTGGCACGAGAGGGCACCATCCGATCTGAATGGAACGTTTCGACGTCAGTCGTCCGTAGCCCATCGTCAAAGCAACAACGTCCCGTTTACGAACAGATGAAATAATTTCAGCAATTTCTTTACAAAATAATCCTCAACAAAACTTAGAAACATTTCATAGACAACTACAGGCTCCAAAATTATGTCTATTGCAAAACAATTCAATCGACAACCAGTTTGACGCCACGATTTCTTGCTGGAGCCCGAGTTCTACGCGTGATTTTATTGCGTTCAAAACTGTTCCATTTCAAACTGCGCATGCACACACACTGTGGTTTCTCGAAATGCATACTAATTAGGTAACTTGTCACTGATAAAAGTCACCGAAAACATTTTGAGCAATTTTGAGCAATAGTACTAGAGTGAAATTTAAACGTGCCTCTCCATGAATTTCGTAACTTGCTATGATTATGGTAAAGAGAAAACCTGTGCTTACTTTTAACAGTTAGCTGGAGTCTGATCGAAAACGTGTCTCAAAAAATACCTTTACATCATTTTTCCGATTATTTTTTTAGCTCGTAACGATAGAAGCATTTTGGCACAATTTTACTGAAAAGACGAGTTTTTCATTGCTCATGAATTTATGCAAATGAGACGATTATTTCAACCAATCGTGTCATGCAACTCCCCCCCTGGTGTGATGGCTGCACCTATAGTTGTGTGTAACAAACCAATCATGTGTAGTCCTCTACCTGGTCTAACCATCGATGATTCTACAAGTTTTATACTGTGGAATACTTTATTTTCGCTGGATTTAATTTTCGCTGAAAAGGCTTTTTGGGCGTTTTGCTTGGAATTTATTTTCACTGATTTTTGATGAGTTTAATGTGAAATATAGTAAAAAAAGTATATTCGCTGGATTTTATTTTCACGGAATCATCCCTTCAGGGAAAATAGCGAAAATAAATTCCAAGCAAAAATAAAGTATTCTACAGTATTCAGTTTTCCAATGCCAAGACTTGTAATGCTTTTGAACATTTCAGAGAATAATGTTTTACATACGAGAATTATCGCTTTGGAATGATGGGAAGGGTTTAATGACATTTAATAATTTGACCAATGCTCACAATTATGCAAACATTAAGTTTATTCATGGCCAAGACTCATTGATTATTAATTAATAAAAAATTTCCACATTAAGCTTGAAAGAAATATTTGACAGAAAAATGATGCAAGTCATTTTTAAATCTATTGGTTGATTTAAAAACCATACATGTTATGAACCAAATGACAAGTTTCACTTAAATTTCAATCCTACCTATTTGTGTTTTATCATCTACTGGTTCTGTCGGAGGAGCATCCACTGGATTGACATCAGGCATTTCATTTTGTTTCAGAGATTCCTCATTCTGTGAATCCAATGTTAAACTAGCCTGTAAATCATCAGGCTCTTTAGTCCTTTGTTGTTCTTCTTGTTTTTGCACATCATCAACAGCTGCATACTGCTTCATATTATCTTGATTCGCTTCTGCATTAGGTTTGTAAACATTTTTTTTAGCAGCACCTGATTCAGTTTGTGCCATTTTCACATTCTCCCTTGATTCTGATGGGACAAAAAAAAATGCATTTTGATATATTTTAAGGTTTTTCATAATTTCTCCATAGATAAGCAGGAGAGCATGTTCTTAGTTACTCAAGCACATATGCATGTTTGTGTTGAATGTCTTTTTTGTGAAGGTTGACATGTGTTTGTGTCTAGTGTTGAAAAAGACAACTGTTCAGTAATGATGATGTAGAATGAAACTGCTGTGTTAATGATGGGTGATAATGTTAGCGAAAATTTACTGTTTGACTCAATATCTAGATTTTATTTCAGATGCTGTTCATGCACAAATGATGGAGAGGAAATATTACCTGTATAGAGACTTTGTTGCTGCTCTAATCGTCTCTGTTTTTCATATTTTAACTGTTTTTCAAGTATATCTGGTGGAACATGACCACTGACTTTATATCCCCCTGCAGTGTCTGTTCGCTGCTCTTGAAGGCGTTCCAATTGCCGTTGCTGTTCATGTTGTTCCACTTCTTTTTTTGTTGCCATAACATGACCGGTAGGTTTATCACCACCTAGAGGTATGCGTCGTTCCTGTGGCTGCTGCGGCTGCTGAGTTGGCTCTCTCCGATTGGCCATGTGTATGTTTGGGTGACCACCTGGAGGTTGTTTATAATTTACATAAGGCGGTGGTTCCCTTTTTTTATTGTCATCATTTTTTATAGATTCATGTCCTTTATGTTGTTGAGTGTGATGATAGTGTTCCTTGTCATTGTGTGCCACAGGCTGTTGCATCTGCTGTTGTTGATCAGCACCTACAAAAATGACACAGAAATTTGTTTTATTATAAAAATAATAAAATTTGTTCGTTATACCTGGTAACCGGTTATGCTAGTATATAATGTGCGCACATATTGGTTATTTACAACAATTCTTGAGAAAACTCATTAATAGCAGATTTTATCTCTAAATTTACAAATGGTGCAACATGTCTGACCAAATTATCTAACACAATTACATGCTGTTTTCTGTATATTTAATTACTGCACGACAAAAGCCAAAACAGAACAATAACTTCTAAGTAGTTACAAAGTGATACAAACTGTATGTGCAATGAAGATTCTATTCTATGAGAATTCCACATCTGTGTCAACTGAACTGTTAACCGTCAATGTCACAGATTGTTACGGACACTTGAAAAGTTTTGATTGTGTAAATAGAAATGAGCAAGATCATCGGTGTATTCAAAGGGGCAAAATAAAAGGTTATATACGCTTTGCAAGGAGGCTTACAAAAACAGCCTGGAATAAACAGTTCTTTAACAGACCCACTCATTTGTAGTAACATTTATAGAAATAATCTAAGTTTATATCGCAATTTTGTGATAATCTCGTAACTCATGCGACTTCAAATTTGGATATCACACAAGTTGCATACCCAAGTATATTCTATACATCCTATAATATCATGGTTACTATACTGTGTATATACAGTGTGTACTTCAAGTAAATTATCAGACTTACCAAACGAGGGAAGAATGGTTACTGTGAAACACGTCGTCAGTAAAATAGTCAGTTTCATGTTTTCAGGCTGGAAAGCTAGTATTAGTAAACAGCCGGTACAGTCTTTGTTATGTTTTGAATTATGAAACAAGTAAACTGTAATATCAAAACACTTCCGGGTTTTCTCAGTTTCGTATCTTCGCTACTCAATGACACGACTAGGAGCTGGTCGAAATGCAGAAAGCATATGTGTTCAAGACAAAACTAGCGTTAAGTTGATCGAATCCATGTTTACATATTCGTCAGCCTAACACGATACCAACATTGTATCTCCTTCGACACGAGATATCAAGTCAGTCGCTGCAATGCCACGTATAGTTAACATCTCGTTAATATATAACACGAGCCCTGATTGGCTGTTCAACAACAAAGTTGAAAAAAAGAAATATTCATGATTTCACATCAGTAACAGCTCTGCAGATAAGTAAATCAAATATTTCACACATTTTGTATTTTATTCAGGTTCAAAAAAACTTCAAATATTCAGAAAACATTGAAATGTTCTATAAAAATTAACAAAATCACTCAGAGAACGCAAACCAACTGACCAATTGCGATTCATGTTATGAACGCTCTGATCCAATTTATCGGTAGATGTGCGCATGCTCGGAAAAGGCCACACAGGGTCATCGAAACTTCGTAAACTTTGAACTATCGAGAAAAGAAATCTCGGAGAATGTGAGGAATTCCAATTACGCACTCTCTATGGCGAGGCGAAAGAAAGTTAGCGATAACAGTGCACACGTAAGTATATATGCGTTTTCTCTAATTTACTATAAACGGGGCAAAACTATATCACACAACTGCACGTTTTAAGTTTTGTTTAACCCATTTTTAGGGGCGTGTTCAAATATGATAATTAATATTAATAACAAAGGAACAGAATCATATGCACATAAATTGTACTTTGTGGTGATGTGGATAACTGTTAGTTATAATTACACATATTTAGTTAAATAATGAGCTCACAATCTTGTAGCTGTCCCTGCTGAATCCAGTACCCAGGTTAGTTTAAAAAAAAAAAAAAAAAAAAAAAGAGTACCGTATTGGGGGTTTGAAATCACCGGGGTGGTATCGAATTTTGTTTTGTTCACAGTGTCTTATCTGTGCATTTGTATCTTTCTTTAATGTGTAAACGTTTTGATTCTGCAACACTTTTCAAGCATTTTTTTTCTCTGTGTGTGTAGCTTGCACCCTCGCCTATAATTTCTAATGGTTGACCCCTAAGGGTCATTTATTTTGGCACATTTTCTAAAACATGAATCGTGACCTTTTTTAAAAATGTTTCAGTGGATATTTTCAGGCATTTCTGCTGTTTCAAGATTTTAATTTGCTGTGGTTTATGTTCCAATTAATATAGAACATACATTTCTCATAAGTGTGAGAATATTTTGTATGGGGATTCAATTGATATATACTTTTAATTAATAATTTATTTTTTTCCAGATGGGAAAACACAGTATGGAATGAAATAGATGCTGCGAGTCAGCTGAAACGAGTATGATAGTTATACCAAAATAATGACTAATAATCTTGTCTAATGATAGATGAAGACCAATCATGCTTAAAAACCTAACTGATATGTGCCTAGTATGCCTTAGTAAAAGTTTGCATCTACAAGTGAACTTACAGGATAAATTACCAACCAAATTCAAGGAGATATTGATTGAGAGACTGGCTTTTCATGATCAGTTCACTTTAGAGTATTTACCTTTTATTGTAAGTCATTTATTTGCACCAACATTGAAGAGGATAAACTTCTACGAATGTGATCAGATCAATGATACCGTGTTATTGAACTTAGCTGAGTGTGGATGCCAGTTTACATCTCTACGTATTGACAGCTGTGCAGAAATCACTGATATAGGACTCCATAATCTGCTGAGTCAACAGCGCCACCTAGAGACGTTAGAGTTAATATTTTTACCTGAAGTTTGTGGTTGGAGTCTGAATTCTGTCAAGTCACCGGTGCTGGCACAAGTCATTATTCAGGAGGAATACGGCAAACCACCAGGCATTGATAATGAATCATTCTGTAATTTGGTTGCTAATAATAAATCATTATATTTTGTTTGTATTCACAAAGCGCAGGGCTCACGTCCATTAAATGAAGAACAGATATCTCGTATCATCCAGAGCACAGGTGAACGATTATATCATTTCTATCTGACAGGCAATACAGAGGTCTCCGATCATAGCTTACAAGTGTTGGCTGAAAATTGCCCAAACTTAAAAACGTTGAAGCTGAGAAAAGTTGATGAAGCATCCTGGAGAAGTATCACTGAGAAAGGTCTGAAAAGTGTTATGGAAAAATGTCGCAGACTTGCAGATCTCAATCTTTATTATTATTATAATTTATTCAGTCTGCATCGTGGTTTGTGCGTCTTGCCATATTTACCCAAATCCCTTTTTGTAATTACGCTTGATGGAAGTTTAGAGGGAATAGACGAGGATATGATGTATAGCGCATTTACTCAGTTACCTCACCTCTATAAATTGGACGTAAACATTGATGGGGTATCTGCTGATGTTGTTGATAAGATTCTCTCAAAAATGGGCAAGCAATTACAAGACTTGAAATTGAGCTTTTCGTCTTCTCACTGCACTACTATGCACTCTGTTATTAAATCTGTAGTCCAGTATTGCATTAATTTGAAAAACTGGACTGTGTATACATGTGAGCACATAGATGGCACCGAGTTGTATCCAGTATTGAGGGATGAAAGAAGAGCAAATAATCTGAAACTCTTCAAGCTATGGCCAGCCACACAAATCAAGTATGATGTTTTACTGAGTATAGTGAACTGTTGTAAGAATCTGGATACTTTCACAATTTGCAACCACAATGTTGATGATGACATAGTCCTTGCTTTGTCACAAAACACCAACATCAGTTGTATTGATCTAAATGGTGAATGCAATGAATTAAGTGAAGAGGCATTATGTAAATTAGTTGTAGCATGTCCATTAATGCGTGCACGGTTTCCACGAATGAAAAACATCACGGACAAATTGGTGAAAATGCTGGCATATCACAGCCCATATTTAGATTTTGTAAGATTATCTGGTTGGGCTAGAATTTCAGAAGAGAGTATTCAGAAGTTGAGAGACAGCTGTATCAGAAGGGTGTATATAGCTTATCATCCACGGGAAGAGCTGCAATGAATGAAAGAATCCAGATTTCATTTGTGTATATTTGGTAGTCATGTAAACTTCATCTCAATAAGTTTTTACTGTATTTTACTTTCATCACTTCAAATAATTGTGCAAGAATCTACATTCTGTAAGCAGAACTTCATTAATGACTAATTTCTTTAAAGCACCACTTGTGGCTTGTACCTTTGCAACCCATGCCCACTGTACGATGATTGTGGCAAGAAAACAAACTTGTGATATCACATATACCAACCATATTGCAGCATGTTCATGGTAGACACAACTTAACAGTCCATTCTACCACTTAAGTGAAACACAAAACAAAAAATTAACAATGAAACTTTAATTCTTTTTAACTTTAAAAATTTAGATTGAATTCTATCACCTACTAAATATAGAATGTTTCTGTGTTTATCAGTACTGTTAAAAATGAAATACACATTAAGGCTTTAAATAGCATTATCAGTAGTGATTATTGGTTACAGTCAATCAACAGAAATCAACTTGTAGTTTTGCGAATGTATATAAATAGAAATGGTGGGAAAACATAGAGCAATTTTTAGCAGTCAAGACAATGAATGCAAGTGTCAATTATAGACAAATTGAATAAAAAATAAGTTTGTCTTGAAAATGTATGTTATTTTTTCTTAAATACAAACAAATGTACACTAATGAAATTCTCAAGTCCTTTGATCAAACTTGATGACTCCGGTCTTAAAATATGTAACACAACTCACAAAGCGAAAAAATAAATTTGTTACACTATTATTCATAATATGGTTCAATAACAATCAACTATACCAATGACAGCAAGTTTGATATTCTAAATAAAGCTTAACATAGATATTATAGAAAAAAGTGTGTTTTAAGTCCCACAAATATAAGACCCAGAACTACACTGTTTTAGATGTTGCAATCTTTAAAGGATTATCTAACCTTGGCACAGACGCATTTAACAAGAGGGTTCTCCCAAGCATCAATGTCAGAATCAACAGTGTCTCAATCAATTGAAAGTACCTTACTGATACTCTACATACAGTATTTATTGAGTTGGTATTATGTGGTAAATGCTGAGAATTAAATGATAATACAAGCTGGGAATAAGGTGGTAGACCATAAATGGAACAAGTGTAAATCTGGATGGGAATGAAGAGTGTCTGCACATGATTCTGAATAACTAATTTTGCTTTAGTATCTGATTAGTTGATTGTCATGCAGCACTTACAGAATTGTTGCCCTTTGTACATAGTTATAGGAGCTAGCTTCAGGAGAACCCAACAATACTCACATAATTATTTTTGGCAAATTAGTTTTATTAAAATACATGCAAGAACAAAACTGCTTGCATTACTAACATGAATATTTATTCCCTGATGCGTAAATTTCAGCTATGAATCGCATAAAGAATAACATAATTTATGAATCATAATGGTACAGGGATTTTTCAAATTGTCAATGTACAACACCACATAAAAGGTGTCCTCCCCCACCTTGTGTGAGAGTGAAATAACTTTGAATATTTCATTTTCTTTGCCTGACTAGATTGTTGAAATGATTAACGCATCAAGCTTTAAAAAAACAAATATCAATATTTCCTTTTTCATTGAAAATTCAACCATAAAAAAAAATATTTGCCCCTACACATCTCTTTGCCCCCCCCCCCCCCCAATGGAATTCATCACCTAAATGAAATATCCATCTGACCCCACCCCCAAATGTAATGTTCCATTTTTCGCCAAACTGAGAACCAAATATTCAGTGACCTTCATTAAACAATAAAGCTAATTTCTTTTTGAAAATATGCAATACAGTGTATTAGAGAACTTACAAAGTCTTGTAGCCAGAAAGCATTGCACAGTAGGTTTAAGAAAACTATAAGTGAAAACTTTGTTTTTTATAATACCCATTATTCTACATACAAGAATCTAGATATCAACCTTATCGTTGATTGGGCTAGATATACAGCACTCACACATGCCATCTACTAGTATATACATTGAGTTGCATCTCTGTTGACACTCATAGGGCTGAATATTTAGAAAATAATCAGTAATTAAAGCTGTAAATTATCATATCATAATGATCAGCAGCGAGATAAACCATCACTATGGTAACTGTTTTCACAAATTGAAATCACACAAGGCTTCCCATGAGCAGCGACATGAGTCAAACATAATAAGTCAATCCCCTAAGTGGCTTGATACTATAATTTGGCAGAGACATTGATCAGCTGATGTTTTGCTATGAGAAAATAATTGTGAAAATCAACTGGATTAGTGTGTCATAGTAATGAGTCACGGATAATTAAAACACATACACAGAACAAATATCACTTTTTTTTTATAAATTCCCCATTTTTATAAATTCCCCATTTTTCTCTCATGAATTGACCATGCTGTATATGAATATAAGTTTTCAAATATATTATAAAAATTGTTCAATGATGACAATATGTCAACACCTAAATGACAATCATAATTGGTTCGCTGTGTATAAGCTGTCGTACTGTGAAGTCATTTGTTTACATTTTCACCAACCAGTATGTGAATCTGTTAACAAATGTTGCTCACTTATCTGCACTAAATAGTTAGTTGTTTTAGGCCCAAAAAAACAACAACTTATGTTGCCCTCAAGTCGGAAAATAGAAAAATTGGGGGGGGGGGGGGGGAACGCGATATTTCATATTTTTCGGTCAGCCGCTGAGAGCAACAAAACAATTTTTTTTTGGCCTTATTAACAGGGACACATACAAGTATGCAGCGAATAATGTCATTATTTTATCTTCAGGTATGAGTAACCAGTTCTTGCCAACTCTTTGATCACCCGAAACTAGGAAAATATAATGTACCACGTACATGTTTAAATTATCCACACCCCTAAATGTACATATTTAAAGCTATTCAAATTAGTCACCACAACAAAAAAACGCATTACTCTAAATAGAATTGGTTTCTGTGATATACATGTTAAAACAAAAAGGTGGGCTGAAATACTGCACAGTACATATTAAAGACTTCGATGTAAATTATCCATTGAAAATCTCCAGTGTTGAGTTATTGCATTCTTTTCACATCTCTCGACAACCAATCCAACAGTGGCTACGGATTTACTGTCTATACACAGATCTGTGCCACGAAACTTCAGCTGTCTATTGTTTTCTATCTGCTCCCATTTCTATAGAAGAATAGAAAATACAAAATTAGTTTTATGCCTCAAAATAAGTATGCTGAAAACTAGAGTACCCGGTATGTGACAGACGATATAGACATGAACACTATGGCACCACTAGGTGAATGCCGCCAGCATGGTAGATTGATTGGAGAACTTGAAAATGGGGACAAAAATTTGCATTGATAAGACAAGCTGGTATCCAATGTATTGGGCAAATATTATGGACATCAACAACTTTAGCAATTACATCCATGTCTCAGTATCGACAATTTGTGGCTTTTGTTTGTCATTTGGGTAACTTAAAAAAAGATATGAATGAATTCTAATGAAATATTCAGTAGGTTGTCCATGACACAAGGACCAATTCATTAAATTGTGTATTGAGATGAGGGTTTGATTGGCAGGACATTTTCAGATGGGGTTGCCATGGAAACAATTGGAGTGGGAATAAGTAATTTACATCTGTGGTGAAGGTTTGCACTCTTCGAGTCAACACAAATGCAATGTCTAAAACATAACTATTTTCATGACAAGTAAATGCATATTGCCTCTAGAGGGCAGTATATCATTATCTCTTACCTGATTTAGATTACTTTCACTGCAGCCATGGAGTTTAATGACTCCTGATGGTCTATGATCCATTACAGTTAAACATAAATCTTGATGACGAATTGCTTTATCTTTGGTCAGTGCAAATTCCTACAAAAGAACCCAGTAAGGAAATGTTTTTAAACTACAATCCATGAAACATTATAGCAAGTTCATACTCTCTCATACATATGTATTGAATCACATATCATTGGGTTTATAAACCAAAGGAGTTGAACTACATGTCTCATTCCAAACATTACCCCAATGTTTTATATTACCGTATATAGTAACTGTGCAGTTTTGAAATGAGTAAGCCCTTAACATCATTGAAAAATAAAAAAACTATTAATACACACAGTATTAAAAGAATATTTTCATTCAACCAAACCAACATGAGACGTTACACACAATGACAACCCACAACGTCAAAAACACCATCCTAGTCTAACGACATGACTTTAACAGCATAGATATGTATGAATTTTCTGTACAGAATGTCTGTAACCTGAGAATGACAAACAGTTGTTGTCTGAACAAAAAATAAGGTATACTATTACTGCATAGAATAACTAGTTTGTCTTACCTGGTTGCCTCCTGTATTGTGGCATTCATATAAACCTAAAGTACCATCAGTAAAATGACCCAATGTATCCATACACAAATGTCCTTGTTGTAATGCACCAAAGGCAATGTCTTTTTTATCTGGTATTCTGAAATAAATGTGAAAATATTGACTAGACAGACTTGGCTGTTAAGTGGGAGGGGAAATACTTATTATATGGAGAGGCTATAG